TGCACTCCAGCCTGAGCGACAGAGACTCCTCTCCAAAAAAAAAAAAGAACAACAGATGTCTGAGGGCAACTCAAATCAGCTTCCTGCTCTCTTATAAAATGGGAGTACACAGAGGGACTTGGGCCTTCATCCCACCCAGAGGAGTTCTGTATCAGGGGCTCACAGCTTTGCCCTGCCTCCTCTCTAGCTTGCAATCAGCCTAGAAACTACAGTAGAAAAATAAATGATGTGGTTACAAAAATAAAACGCCTTTTCCTCACCTGTGTGCAGGAGAGGGGCGGCATGCGCGGGGGAATGCCTTCCTCACCCCATTTACCTCTTTGGGGACAAACATTTATTAGGTTCCTGCTTCATGCCAGGCTCTAAGGAGATGACACCCATGGCCTCATTTCCTCCATGCCACAGCCCAGCCAGGAGGGAGTATTATCATCTTCATTTACAGACAGGACAACTGAGGCTTTGACCATTGAGAAGATAATTGGTGCCTTGAGAGGCCGAGCCGCTGGACCAGAGTGTCAGAGCTGGAGCAAGCTTGTCTGACTCCAAAGCCCTGCCCACCGCACCACACGGCACACAGTAGACGCTAAATAAAGATCTGCTGGCAAAATGTTGCCTAAGGCAATTTGAGCTGCCTGGGCAACAACCTGCCCCTAAATATTTCCCATCCTGCCTGAAATGCCACCATTTCCTTTGGGTCTAGCAACCATGTCCTTTGGGTCTTGAAGGGGAAAAGTGCTGTTTCCTGGGAATGAGATCAAAGTCAGTCTGTTGGGTTTACTCAGGGATCGGCTGAGAGTGGGACTCAGAACTGAGCCAGAGCCAGGGGGACGAAGGTGTCCCATTCCCACTGGCCCAGTCTCATCCAGGAGAAAACCTTCTGAGGACAGAGATGCATCCTGGTGGTAGGGCAGGTGGGTGCCTGGTTGGCCCTGGGTGTTGGCCGATGACAACAGGGCTGAAAGCATGACATAGTGATGGGGACAGGTGACAGAGCGGCTGTGGACCCTTTCTGACTGCAGCCTCTGAAAGAAGCTATGAGGGCCCTGGTCTCCCAAACTCAGGCAGAGGGCTGATCTTCTCCTCTGCAGCTCCCCCACCACCACCACAGAGGCAGCATCACTGCTGGATGGGGAAGGGGAGGGAGGCTAGGGGTTTCAGCTTGGAGGCAGGGAGGATCTGGACCTGGAGATGGATGTCCTGGCTCACAGTTCCTGTCCTTGAACTGGGGGAGTTGAGGTTACCGGGAGTCTTAAGGGAAGCCACCCAGGTAGAGGTCCAGCTTCCTGGGACTTGAAGGAGCCTTGGAGGACATGAGCCTATAACACAGACAGGGATTTGGCTCTAGACCCTTCTACAGGGGTGGTATCTGTTTTAACTGAAAGGTTCTTTCCAGTTGTTTTAGAGGTTGTTTGAGGCTGTCACTGTAGCCAAAAAAGGTGAGTATAGCTGGAGTGGGGATGGGATGGGGCTTTAGCCACGGAGAGCACCAGCTTTTCCCAAGGGCATCTACAGTCCTGTGAGATGCTCTGGGACAAACAGAGCCCATTTTCAAATAAGTACATTTGGAGAAAGCTGCCCACTCTAGCCCCTTCATGGGTCATCACAAGGCACGTGGCCATGTTAAAGGCTCTGATCAGTCCTTCAGGGAAGAATGTCTGTTCACTTTGACTTAACCTGCTGTTTCCTTTTCTCGTTGCTCACAGGTACTTTTAGAGACAAGCCATAGTCATTCCCTGTGACACATACTCTAGGGCATGCTGGAGATGGAGAAGTGTGTCCTGTTAGGCCTCCTAAAGACCCTGAGCTCCAGACACTGGAGCCTAGAAGTGGTGAAGTCTGAAAACTCTGAGCTCTAGGGTCATTGCAGCCCAGAAGTGGTGAAGCGTAGAGAGGAAATGATTAATCCACCCATTAAGGGGTGGATGCAGCCCCTTCAGACTTGAAAAGAAAGTTCAAGGACATCTCAAGACTAGGAAAGCTTGGAACCGGAGCTAGGAATGGGAGATGGCCTTCTTGCCAACCCCAGGGATGGAAACTGGGCTCTCCAGGCAGTTTCCGGCGTGCGAATTCCTTCCCACCTGCCTGCAAACCCACCATTGGTCATGTATTCCTTTGAGGAGCCAAGTTTGGTCTGTTCTCAGCCCATTCAAGGTATTGCGACCCTCTAGCTGGCAGGGAGTCCCTGCAGGAGGCGGGAGAGAAGAGGAGCGAGGCCTACATCAGAGCGATGGGCCCCCGAACACCCTCCACGTCACACACGGAGGGGCGTCGGGAGGCAGATGACCCTTCTGGACTTCTGGGGGAAGGAGGGCTGGCTCAGGAGACCCCAGAGATCAAGGAAGATGGTGGCACAGTGTCCTGCATCTGGGTCCAGATTGTCCGGGAGTGCCAAGTCCGAGATCCTCATGCGTGGTCCAGCCTCTTGCATGGCTGCTCATTAGATGCCCGAGGGCCGTATCATCAGGCGGGTGGCACGCAGTGAATAGCTGGGGCCCTTGAAGTAGTGCCAGCGGATGCCGTCCATCTTGTGCTTGTTATTGGGAGCGTGGTAGTAGATGCCATTGAGGTTTGACAGGCCACAGGCATCAAACCACCACCCTGGTGGAATAGGGAGGAAAGAGGCTTGGTGGAGGTGGGAGCCCAGCCAGTGGCAAGAGGGCACCCTCTGTGTCCCAAAGAGAACAAAGAGCTGTTGCCTCCTCTGGGAAACCAGCTGGCTGGGGATGGGGCTGGGTGGGAGTGGGGGTGGGGTAGACAGCATACCCTCTGCTCAGCCGGAGCGTCTAGAGGGCAGCAGGGGGCTCCAGCCATCCCTTGAGCCCCTCCACTCCTCCTGGCCTTCTCCCTTAGCCCTTGGTGTCCCTGTCTTCCTCCCTCACTGGCCCTCTGTCTTTCCAGCTCCCTAACCCTCCCCAAATCGCTCTCTCCACTGCTTTCTAGTGGTCTCTGTCACTCTCTCTGAGTCTCTCACTCTCGGGGTTCATCTCTTTCTCTCTGACAGTCTCTATGCTTGGGTCTGTCCCATTGTGTTCCTCTTTCTCTGATGGTCTTTGCCCCTCTCTGCCTTTCATGTCTCTGGCCTTCCTTTCCTCTGGGCCCCCATCTTTCACGTGCTATGTTCATCTCTGGACCTTTCCTTGGGCCGAGTCTTTCTCCCCCGCCTCCCTCTGTACTTCTCTGCCCTGGTATAGCTCTCCATTTGCTGCTCAATGACTGACAGTCTTGGTGTCTCTCTCTCTCTCCATTTGTCCTCTGTGTCTCAGAAGGTCTCTCCCCTTGTCTCTGTCCTTCCTCCTTTGTCTCTGTCTCCCACTCACCCCACTTCCCGCTCTCTGACCTCTGTACCTACCAAGGAACGCTGCCTGAGCCAGAGTTGGAAGAGAGCTGTCCCTCTGCCACCCTCTGGTCTCCTGATCCTGGTTTGGCTCGCCTGGGGTTGGGACTGGTAGGGCAGGGTGCCTCCCCACAGAGCCCCACACTCAGTGTTCCTTTAGCCTTGTCTCTGAGGAAAACTGGTGGTGCCAGCTTTTGGAGGAGGTGAGACCTGGAGGGGACCTCAAGGACCTAGTGGGGGAAGGCACCAAAGGAGCTCAGCCAGGTGAGCCCATGGGTGGGCAAGGCCGGACCTGCACCCCCTCCTGACAGCACCTGGGTGCACAAGAACCTGGGGAGGAAATGGGACTGTCAATCTGGGTGAGACTGTGGGTGGGCAGAGCTTCTCCCCACCCTGCACCTACCTCCAGACATCATCTGGGCACACTTGCAGAGGCAGTTATCGTTGTCTGAGTCAAAGGTGCTAAAGCTGGTGTTTTGCAGAACCATACTGCTCTGGCGCCCTGCTGAGCCGTGGTACCCGCCCAGAGAAAGCCTGGAGGCCAATCAGGGGTGGTGGTGGCAGAAAGGCCCAGAGTCAGGGTGAGACTGTGTTGAGGAAGAACTTCCCCAATGGCTTTGCCCCAGGCTGAGCTTCCCTTCCAGGTGTTCTCGGAGGGAAAGCCCCAGCCTGGGTGGGGTGCTTGGGCCATTTCCCCTCCTGATTGCCTTTCTTGCCTGCTGCCTCCCAGGGACAAAGCACCTACTGTATGCCAGGCCTTCCCCATTTCAGTGAACCTGAGTCTTGGAGAGAAGTGAGAATGGTCACAATAATGATAATAATGGCGAATATATATTTTTTTCTTTAGAGACATCATCTTGCTCTGTTGCCCAGGCTGGAGTGCAGAGGCATGATCATGACTCATTACAATCTCAACCTCTTGGGCCCAAGCAGTCCTCCCACCTCAGCCTCCTGAGTAAATGGGTCTATAGGCATGTGCCACTGTGCACAGCTAATGTTTGAATTTTTTGTAAAGATGGGGTCTTGCTAATGTTTGAATTTTTTGTAAAGATGAGGTCTTGCTATGTTGCCCAGGCTGGTCTTGAACGCCTGAGCTCAAGCAATCTGCCGCCTAGGCCTCCCAAAGCTCTGGGATTACAGATGTGAGCCACCATGCCTGGCAACACATTTTTTCTTTTCTCTTTCTTGTTCTTCTTTTTTTT